AGTATTAATAGTTTAGTTTTCCTTTTATATCTACTAGTTTTACTTTAAAGAGTGTTTACTTCTTAATCTAGGTTCTTTATACTTTAGCTTTGTTTATATAGTGTATTATATATTTGTTATATATATATTTAGACTAGTGTTTAATTAGTCTATTATAGTATAGAACTAGGTGTTCTAGACTAAGTTATATATATAGCTAATTTACTTTAAATTCCTTAACTATTTATATACTAAGTTAATACTAAAGGTAAATTATAAGAATTAGCTATTATTTTCTTTATTAAGGAAAAAAGTTATTAAGTTTCTTATCCTAGAGGTAAAGCTAGTATTTGTTATAGATATAGTTAGCCTAGAACACTTTAGTGTAGTATATATGCTTCTAGTTAAGGTACTTGTAGTCTCTAAATACAGGTTCCTTTAAGATAAACACTACTAGTTTTCTGTTAATCCTAGTATTATCTGTTCTATAGAACCAGACTTCTTAGTTATCTTTATTCTTCTTATACTATAGTTAGTACTTAAAGTAATTATTCTTAGTAAACTAAGCCTATTTAACTATTAGGTTATTACTAAAGTTAATATATATTTATATAGTAATTAGTTTATCTAGGTTATATTAAATTAGACTTTAGTTAGCCTTATAGAGTTATGCTTTCTATTTACAAAAGATCTTTTCTTTATAATCTAACTTATTAAAGGATTCTTCTTTCTCTAAGAATAAAGTAAATATAATAGATTTAGTTCTTTTTTTAATGTCTTAGTAAAATATTAACTAGGTAAAGGCTTAACTTATATTCTTAAGGTTTATAAGTTACTTAGTAGCCTTTTTCTTAAGCTTACTTAAGGGTTTAAACTTATTAAGTAATTCCTTATATTCTTCTTTAGAACTTATTTTTTTACTATATACTTTAATTAACTCTTATAGTATAAGTTCTCTAAACCTAAGTTATAGAAATAGAAATTTAAGTTATTATAGTTACTTTTGTCCTATAGCTATTATCTTAGTAGGTTTCTTAGGTTTAGTGTTCCTTTTCTCTTTAAAGGTATTCTTAAAATCCTTTTTAAGTACTTATTGTTTTTAAAAGTTACTTTAGGCTTATATATATAGTTGTAGTTATTCTTTAATAACTTTTAAGGTATTAAGTATACAAAAGTTATTTTTTTTACTTTATATAGCTTCTTTAACTTAGATAAGCTTAGTAATTAGCTACTAATTTCGTTTTTCTAATTACTAAACTATAGTTTAGTCTAGTTAACCTCCTTTTTAGGTTCTTTAGAAAATAGCTATAGTTTTATTTCTTAGTAGTTAAAGGTATTATTCTACTTATTCCTTTTATTCTTAATAAATAGAATAATTATTATTAAAGTAGGTAATCTAGTTTTATTATTTATAAAGAGTCTTTCTTTTTATTATATTAGCCCTTTTAGTACCTTTAAATATAGGTTTATTCTAGAGTTATTTAGGCTACTTATAATCTCTAGCTATATATCTAGGCTTTTTATAATTATAATATTTAAAGTCCTTTAAGTCTTAATAGTTTTAATAGGTTTTTTTAACTATAGTACTAATATCTATAGGTCTATTATATTATTTATAAGAAGTACTTAGTTTACTATATTACTAGTTATTTTACTAGTATAAGTTAAGTTATAAGTTCCTAGGTCCTTATAGTATATACTTTTTACTAATATTTAGCTAAAAGCAATATATTTCTTCTTTTTTCTTTTATTACTTATATAACTTAGTATTAATCTTAAGTACTATTTCTATATATTATAAGAAGTTATCTAGTTAATTAAGCTTAAATAGTTTATCTTTTATGTTTTTTTTAAGTCCTTAGTAGAATATAAAGATCTTAGTGTTATTATGTTACCGGTCAGAGAGATGTATGAAGGATAATTGTATTAAGGTCTATCTTGACGTGCACACCGCTACTTATAGTTAGGCACACACTACCCACGTGACTATCTTGACGTGCACACCGCTACTTATAGTTAGGCACACACTACCCACGTGATAGCTAGCATCACATGACGCTAGCAGTAGCCACCCTGCCAAGGGGGTAACAACTGCCCCCTAACGCTTTAATAAGCAATAGTCCCTATTGCTTCACTAGGCTAGTCCGGTAACCTTCTTCTGCAACAGCAGAAGGCATGTTGGTAGGCGTGTTAGTAGGCGTGTTAATAGGCGTGTTAGTAGGCGTATTGGTAAGCGTATTAGTAGGTATGTCGGTAAGCGCGTCAGATAGATAGGGTTGAATTAAAGGTCGGTAGATAAGGGTGTTGTCTACTGTAGAGAGGTCGATTGTAACGTACAAGTATAAGGCATAAGTGTTGTTGCCTTTGTTTACCGAGGTTTGCTTCTCAGCCTGACCAGAAGGTCTAGCAGCCAACTTAAGGGTTAGCTAATTGCCTTTACGTAAAGGTGTAATTATAGCTCTTTTAAGAAGTTGCTATCTTTTTGCTCTTTTTATAAGGTAGTAGCTCCTTAGCCTTTGTTTACTGAGGTTTGTTTCTTGGCTTAACTAGAAGGCCTGGCGGTTAACTTAAGGGTTAACTAATTACCTTTACGTAAAGGTGTAATTATAGCTCTTTTAAGAAGTTACTATCTTCTTGCCCTTTCTATAAGGTAACAGCTCCTTAGCCTTTTAGCTAATACACCTATCTCCCTACCTATATAAAGGTTATACTACTACTTATTACTGGTCAAAGAGATATATAAAGGATGATTGTATTAAGGTCTATCTTAACGTACATACCACTACTTATAGTTAGGTATACACTACCCACGTGACTATCTTAACGTACACACTGCTACTTATAGTTAGGTACGCACTACCCACGTAATAGCTAGCATCACGTGACGCTAGCAATAGCTACCCTGCTAAGAGGGTAATATATTAGTATAGTTAAGTTATATATAAATTCTTTAGAATTCTGTAGTATAATTAGTAGCTAACTTAGTTTACTTAAAATTTACTAAGTCCTATTTAGCTTATTATTTCTTATTAAGGTCCTAAAACAAGGATTTCAAAGTATACTTAAATCCTATAAAGCTTCTAAAGATTTACTAGGTTTCTAGGTTATAGTGTTCTAGTATTTTATTATCTAAGTAGTTTTCTAAGTAAAGCTTAAACTAAAAAAGTACTTATCCTCTAAAGAAGATACTTATATAAATGATTTGTTTTGTCTTTATATAAAAGTTACTTATATAGAATATCTAATAGGTTCTAATCTAGATCAGGAATCCTTTTAAAGTTCTAGAGGTCTTATTATAAGTAGTAAGAGTTAAGCTTAAGTTTCTCTTGTTCTTCTAGTAAAGTTAAGATAATATTAGTAGCTCCTTATAAAGTCTAGACTTATTATTTAAGCTTATTAGTCTCTAGAGTCTTTACTTAAAGAACACTAATAGTTTTATTTACTATAGCTTATAGCTATATAATATTATTATTGTTTTACTTTATACGCTTTTATTAATCCTTATATATTTTCTTAGTAAATTTAATTTTATTATCTAATCCTTTAGCGTCTTTTATTTTATTATCTAGGTTCTTAGGGGTAAAAGGTATAAATACTTTTCCCTTTAAACTTATTAAGAATAAGGCTAAAGTACCTTTAAATAAACATAGTTACTATTTAATAAGTATTAAGGTTAACTTACTAAATAAAAGTAATTAAAGTATTATAGTTAAATATCTAATAATAATAGTTTTTACTAATAAGTAACTAAAGTTAATACTTAGTAATAGTAAAGTAAGTCTTACTAATAATTTTACTAGTCTATTAGTGTCTAGTGATTAGTTAGGTATATCTAGGCGTAAATAGCTTATAGCTTTACAATAAAAGAATAATATAAGAGTTACTTATAAAAGAATAAATCACAAAGTTAATTACTAAAGAGCTATAGAGAGTCCTTAAGCTCTAGGCTTAAATCTTGTTTATATACTTGTATCTATTTATCGTGGAATTATTAGCAGTAATTAACTAAAGTAGGCCTAAGGTAAGCTACTCACTTAGTAATTACTCCTAGTAATCACCTTATCTCTTAATTACTTCCTTATTATCACATAACTTGTCCATAGTTCTTCCATTCCAACCCTTACCTATAAGCGCCATAGTCATACATACATAAGTCTAACAGTCCCCCTGGTCCCTCGTGGGTTCGTTCCAGGTAGTTATGTTAACCAACGCTTTCTAGGTTATAACAAAAGCCTACTAGAAGCTATAAGGTCTCCTATAACACAAATAATAAACAATATTTATATTTACCTTAATAACCTTATAGTTACAACTAGGCTTATTACTTAAAGCATAAAAAGCAGCTAAACTAAATTTAAAGCCTTTAATAGGCTCTTTTACTCTTAAAAACAAAGAGAACAGATAAGCTAAATAATACCTAGCAAGGTATACATTTAGTAGTACCCTAGATACACAGAAATACCAGGAAACAAAAAAGCAGACTCTTTAGCCAAAGAGGCCTACAAACAAACCCCAGAATCACATCCACAGCCTACATTAGTGCACTTAAAACGGCAATCTAAAGCAGTCACTTTCCAAACTTTCAACAGAAAATAGCTATCACTCTGCCCTCAGCAGTATACCAACCTTAAGATAGTCCCCTATCCCAAGCCCCCTAAGCTTCGCCTTCCTTAACACCTACTAAAAAAGCTATATACATTAAGATCACATCATAAAGACTTTATAGCATACTATAAGAAGTTTACCTATAAGGACATACTACTTAACTACAGTTATAGTAAACACAAAACCCCAGTATATTTCTACTTCTATAAGCGTGGCCAGAAAGCCACCTTAGCCTATCTTTGCTGACATATAGGAAAAGCAAGTATAGATTTTCTGCTAAGTTCTACGCAGAGAGCCTCTCTTCTGTACAAATAGATAAAGGCAACCAATTTCTTTTCTAAAATCTGCCTGACTTGTTGAACAGGAACGTTAGGTGAAGACGGCAGCCTGTAAAATAGTGTAGATTAGCATAGACCATGTCGGTATTGCCTGGCACGTCCCTTTTTACTCTGGACGTTAAATATATCATCATCATCATCGTCATACAAAGGCTGTGCCGCCCGCGCCTTCCACCCGGAATCCACAGCAGCCCCAACCGCCACAGGAACGGCCCCAACAATCCGGACGACATCGAGGCCAGTACTGGTACCGAGCCAGAGCCAGAGCACACGCCTGGAGCGTAGCAGATCACCCATAAAGAAGAAGATACAGAAACGCCAGCAGCCGACAGGGAGCCAGACACAAGACGAGAACACGATCGTTGTCGCAGCAGAGGACTCTCGGCCGAGACGAGCGATAGTTCCCTCTTGCCGAGCGCTTGAAGCCATAGACGCGAACATACAGATAACAAAAGATAGCCACCCTATGGAAATCGTCGACGATAGCGAATGACCACACAAAGCACACTTATGATACTACAGTACAACGTAAGAAAGTCGAGGGATGTGGTGATGGCTACGCTCCTCCGTGACCCTAGGATCGATGACTACGATATCCTTGCCATCCAGGAGCCATGGATAAATCCCTACAACGCCACAACGCATCACCCGGCGAAGGACCGCTTCCACCTCTGCTACCCGTCGAACAGGGAAGAAGGCCTAGCAAGGGTCTGTTTCTTTGTGAACAAGAAGCTAGACCACTTGAAGTGGCAATTCAAGGAACACAGCAAAGATCTCTGTACTCTCACTCTGGGATTTAACGTAGGCCGGAACACTGAAGTCGCCATCCACAACATATACAACCCGCAAAACCAAGATAACGACAGGATGAGATCCTTACAGCAACTACGGAAAACGCTAGAAGCTAAACACCACATCGAACAAATAGTGGTAGGGGATTTCAACCTTTACCACGAGCTATGGGGAGGAAGCGAGATCCGGAAGCCAGATGCCGAAGCGAGAGAACTGATAGAACTGATGGAAGATTTCGACCTCATCAATCAACTACCCGTGGGCACGATTACATACATGGAGGGAGACGGCCGCTCAACAATAGACCTCTGCCTTATCACAGTTGGGCTGGTTGACAGGCTCATAAAATACGGAATAGACGACAACGTAAACCACGAATCAGACCACCTTCCTATCGCAACATCGCTAGACCTGACAATCGCACAACTACAACAAGAAGAGAAGAGAAACTAGAAGGCTATAGACGAAACCGTCTTTATGAAAGCTGTTAAACGGACTCTTTCCCCGCTAAGGAGGCCGAGGACGAAAGCGGCCCTAGACAGATACATCCAGGAGATAACCGAAGCCCTCACCACAGCCATTGACGAAGGGGTACCAACGAAAACCGGCTCCCCTAAGTCGAGAGCAGGCTGGAACGAGAAATGCGTGGAAATCCTTGCTGAAACTAAACGACTACGTTGACGATATAACGAGGAACACACTGAACGAAGCTGGGAGGCGTACCTCACAGCATGAAATAGGAAAGGCCGGATTATTAGGAAGACGCTACAGAAAACACGCCGCGAGGCAATAGAAACAGCAGCAGAATTGCCAGCTTCACTTTGGAGGATTGCAAAATGGGCCTGAACACGACAGAACTAAACACCAACCGTCACGCCAGAGATTACAAACCCCGCTACCTCTCAAACAGCTACTACGCCAGAAGATAAAGCTGAACTCTTCAGGAGAACGTTCTTCTCAACGCCCCTAGAGGCCAACCTCGAAGATATAGAGAACGCAACATACCAAGGACAAATCACGCTCCTACCTATATCAGAAAACGAAGTAGATGAGGCTATACAAAAAACAGTACCGCTTAAGACACCTGGTCCCGACGGAATCACCAACAAGGCGCTGCAACTAGCCAGAACATGGATCAGCCCCCATTTAACTCGGGCATTCAATCAGAGCCTCTAGCTCGGATACTGCCCACAACACTTTAGGAAGTCCACAACAGTCGTGTTACGAAAGCCGGGCAAAGACAACTATACGACACCCAAAGCATATAGACCAATAGCACTGTTGAACACCGTTGGAAAGGTTATGGATGTAATCATAGCGGAAAGGCTAAGTTATATGGCTGAAACAAATAAGTTACTACCAGAAAACCATATGGGCGGAAGAAAACAAAGGTCAACAGAACACGCACTGTATCTCATCATCGACAAGACATACGAAGCCTGGAACAAAGGACAAGGAAAGGTTGCGAGTCTACTCCTCCTCGACGTGCTAGGGGCGTTCGACAACGTATTACACCAGAGACTCCTTCACAACCTCAGGAAGAGACAGGTCGATGAAGCAATAGTGCAATGGATTGCCAGTTTCCTAGGAAACAGACAAACCCGTATCCACATCGACGGCTATCGGTCCGAGCCATACTCGCTCACCACTGGCATACCACAAGGCTCTCCCCTATCGCCAATACTCTACTTATTCTACAACACAGACCTCCTCGAAAGATGCAACCAGGGCCAGGATACATTCGCCACAGGATTCATCGACGACGTTGCTATCCTTGCATGGGCAGATATAGCAGAAGAAGCCTGCAGCAAACTCCAAGAGACACTAGAAGTAGCAGAAGGCTGGGCAACAACACATGCATCCGTCTTCGCACCTGAAAAGTTCCAACTCGTCCACTTCACAAGAGCAAGGTCACAAATCAACGTCGATACACTGCTACAGAGCAAATAAGGCAAGATAAAGCCCAAAACAATATACAAATACCTCGGCTTAACTATAAACATTTCCCTCAGGTGGAAACAGTATATTAATAAAATAGAGCGCAAAGTCTCAAAGACCATAGCAGCCACTAGCAGCCTAAAAAGCTCCACCTAGGGAATAAAAGCAAAAGAAATGTAGAATATCTACTAAGAAATAGCAATCCTATAAATGATATACGTATACTTAGTGTGGTCGAACACTGGCTAGGGCAGCAAAGGATACATGGACCGAACCCTAAACAGAATGCGAAGACTACAGGCTAGAGCAGCAAAGGCAATATGTAGTGCCTTTAGGGTAATATCCTTCCTAGTACTCAATATAGAAATATACTTTTTTCTAATAAAGCAACAAATATAGAAGCAGAACATTAACATAATTAATAGACTAGGCTTAATAGAACAAAGAGAAGACGAAAACGTTAAGAACAGAAGACAAAGAGAAAGAAAAAAAAAGAAGACAAGCCCTCAGCAAACGATCGAACGAGAACTACGCATTAAGCAAGGCAATAGCACAAGACATCAGCAACAACGGGAGACCATCGCCCTCTTCGTGACCCCACCGTGGTAACAAGGACCGCGCATGTTCATTGCGGACACCGCAGAAAGCGCTAAGAAAGAGCACCAGAAATGCATTAATCATAAGACTAAAGCTATATATATTTATACAGATAGAAACAGCATTAATGGCTATATAGGAGCAGTAGCAGTATATATAACTATATATTAGACCTATAACTTACATATAGGATCTAACGTTATATTAATAGTATATACTAAAGAGCTGTAAGGCATTATCCTTGCCTTTAAAATAGCTAAAGAAGATAAATAGAGGGGAAATAATAGAAGTAAGGTCCTGATCTATACTAATAACTAAACAGCCATTAAATCATTAGCCAGGCTAAAAGGCAAGTTAAGCTTTTATTTACTCTAAATAATTATAAGTAAGACATAAAAACTCCAAGAACAAGGACTCAAAACGGAAATCTAATAAGTCCCTGCTTACACAGAGATCTAAGGCAACAAAGACGCTAATAAGGTAACCAAAGAAGCTATAAAATAAAGACAAAATAATAAAATAAGTATTAAAATAAATATACTATAGTATCTATATATACTTAAATTTATACTTAAAATATAGATATATAAAGAAATAAATAAAATATAATAAGCTAAGTAGATAATAGAAACATAAAACAAAACTACCTTTTAATATACACTAAGACTAATAAAAAAGGTCCTTTAGCTCTATAAAGGGCTAAATAAGAAATAAAGCTTAATCTTTATATAAATATATATAAAAAAAATAAGACTTAAGGACTTCTTCTTTAACCAAAGAATACTAGACGCTATAAACGCTAACTACTTATACTAAGAAGAATAAACCCTAGTATTATATATCCTATTATAATACTATAAACATTAATAACTCTAAAGCTAAAAACTTAGATTTATTTTAGGATAATATAACCTCTAGGTCATATTAAATAAATATAAAGTAGCTATAAAAGCTATTAAATTTATAAAATAGACTAAGATTTTTAAGCAATTCAGGATCAAGTCATAACCCAGGCAAAGCTGAACATTAGGGGGAGACTATAGGTACGCAAAACCACAGTATGAGGCATCAGGCCTCGATAGATCCTAGCATAGAGATCACATTAGTAAGAACCGCAGTCTACACGAGGTGGCTGCTAAATGTAGATAGAGGTTAGAGAGCAAAGCGGGAAAATGGGGACAGCTGGTCAATATTTTGCATTGGCGAAGTGGGGCAGCTCAGATTAACGTCTGAACGCTTCGGCTGTTTGCCGGACCCCGCTATCCGGGCATAGTTGCTAACATAAGAGCGACTTCATAACCGTGTAGGAAGAAATCAATCAATCAATCAATCAACCTTCAGGGCCTGGTGGGGCTAGCGCCTGCCTGTGTCTTGTTGGGTCGTAACATAAAGCTACACAAGCTACTTACACTTTAACGTGTACAACTAGTTACTGTTCACTAACAAAGCCACAGATTACTAACAAGACCTAACTTACTGTCGTTAAGTATCAACCTCAGCTGTCTATTAGCAGACACTACCACTGTTGAATATCTAACCGTAACAAGAAGGTGTAGAGCTGCTGAAGCTAAAGAAGAAAAGCTAGCTAGGCTGCTGCTGCAGAAGGGGGCAGCAGGCAGGCGCTTAGGCATCTACAGTGCTGCACATCTCAATCAATCAACTCTACGATATTCCTCACTTCCTCAATCTAACCCCTCTAACCTTGCTCTACTGCTTCGCCCAGCAGTTAGAGTCGCCAGCAGCACCGTTTTTGTTGCACACCTGTCTAAAGCGACAGTTGCTCAACAGTAGTGGTTGCACTCCACCTAAACCGGCGCCAGCTGCTCCAGCGCCGCAGTAATGGCGGCCATCATCAAATTTCAGATAGTTTCCAAAGAAATTACCACAAGCTTCCTTTGTTGCTTTATCGTTGAAACTGCCGTCGCCATTTTGACAAAGGCAGAAGGCGTATGCGGCGCAAGACCAGGCAAGAGTCGGGAGAAGCGTAACAACAAGTACAGTGGCAGCCTGGAACTAATGTCAGCCTTTGATTATTGCGATAACTCTCCTATTCCGACCGCTTACCTTGATCATCATCTTGAGAGCAGTTGCTTGGAGTTTCTTGTTCGCAAGAAGATGTGATTTAAAGGTCGAGGCAGGTCGAGATTTACAGAGGGATGAACCAAAAACTATTGTTTAGAGGTGAGAATTGTTCCGCGAATAAGTTGGAAGTTGAAAAGTTACTGCAGAAGAGCTATGGATGGTTTTCTATTGCGTCCTGATCCTGACTTTTATAGTTGGTCACCAGGTGCTGATTTCCCTAGATTATCCTGCTAACCAGGACTGTCCTGATTCCTTAGAAGTTTTTTAAATTACTCTTGATTAACTAATTCTCGATTAGTGCCTTGTTATCCTTAGCTGACCTTCAGTGGTCCACACTTTCTGTGTTGTTATGCATCCTGAGGCTGAGACGCCCTTGTCGGTAGGCAAGACTACTTACTCTGTGAAAGGTATTGATTATTACTTAGCTTGGCATAGTATCTCAGCTTAGCCTAACCTGGCCCCTTGTTATTTATTATTGAATTGAGTCATAACATACAGTTGCTCATCTAATCTTGAAATGCTTGACATAGGCACGATTTAGATTGAGTCCCACCATATTGGGAAGTAGGTTCAGGTTGGGCTGGAATCGAGACATCAAGCATTGTGGTGGAACTCTGATTCCGTTTGCCACGTGCGTTGTTCATGCTTAATTTTCAGTGAAAAGCATTAATCCATGATTCCTTTTTCTCAAATAAGAAGCAGAAGGCTGATGACTGAGCATCTTGAACCTGCGAGATTTGGATCTAGGAGGACAGCCCCAAATGACTCATGCCAGACTGGAGACTTGAACTTGGTGCTGCCAGCCCAAACGGTGTCAACCCCCCTAGAGTGTTGAT